TTGAGTTTAGTTTTCCTTAAGATTAGATCTCTGTTATTGTTACATAAGAATTAGATATTCCTGAAAAAAAATACATGAAAAAAAATTATTAAAATTGCTAGGTCAACACACCTTACTTAGGAAATGGCAAAATTTTATCTTCATCCCCTCTAAAGTTATTTTAAGACATATACAGATCATGCAGGTTGACTAATGCTGCAAGTATTTAATGAAGAAACTTACCAAAAGGACGTCTGAGTAAAGCTGTTACAAGAGGCTGGTAATGGTAAGGGAAGTAGGCCTTCAGTGGAAATTTATGCTAAGATACAAAAATCATTATTTTAAGAGCTTTCTGGTCAGTTTTCAAAACAAACTGACAGTGAACAATCTCATCTGAGGTAGTAATTAGCAATACAGACTGAAGCAAGAGAACACAAAAGTAACTCTACATGTAATTTTAGGATTTTTCATAATGAAAGATGGGGGATATTTAAGAAAAGCCTGCTTAGAGAAAGTAATTATTTACAGATTTTTAAAATCCATGCATTAAAAAAGATTCAGAGTATGAAGAAAATTACATCTTAACATTCATAGGCTTTTTCCCTGTAATCACAAAAGCCTTCACTCTTAATATGCAGCAGTTAAAAGACACGCTAATTAGTGTAATTTAACTTTCCAGTGTAAACAGGTTAACAGATCACATTAAACTAAAAACTAGTAACAGCCACAAAATCTGAGGGTGTGATGCAGATTATTGCCTTATGTTCAAAAATGGAAACCTAAAATTCTTAGGATCTGATTCATCACAAGGTAGGGTAGTCATGGATAACAGACTATTTATCTGGGTATATGCAATTTGTATACTGTCAACATTGCTGCTCCTGCAGTTGAGACTACCAGCAGCATGCCTTTAACGTTCTTGTTCTGCAAACATCTACTACAGGCATGTCTAGTGTGTAGCATGCATGTGCAAGTACAATAGGAACTACCTTTGAGGTGGATTGAAAACTGGATGAATGGCGGGGCCAGAGGGTGGTGATCATTGATGTCAAGTCTAGCTGGAGGCCAGTAACTAGTGGTGTGTATATATATGTATGTATATATATGACCCAGGAGTCAATACTGGGTCTAGTCCTGTTTAATGTCTTCATTAATGATCTGGATGATGGGGCACAGTGTACCCTCAGCAAGTTTGCGGATGACACAAAACTGAGAGGAGTGGCTGATATGTCAGAGAGTCATACTGCCACCCAGAGGGACCTTGACAGGCTGGAGAAATGGGCTCACCGGAATCTCATGAAGTTCAACAAGGAGAAAGCGTAAAGTCCTGCACCTGGGAAGGAACAACCCCAGGCATCAGTACATTCTGGGAGCCAACCAGCTGGAAAGCAGTTTTGCAGAAAAGAACCCGGGGGTCCTGGTGATCACCAAGTTGAATGTGAGCCAGCAACATACCCGTGCTGCAAAGGCAGCAAAATGGTACCTTGAGCTGCATTAGGCAAAGGATTGCCAGCAGGTTGAGGGACATGGTCTTGCACTGGTGAGCAGCCACTCCAGCAGCCAAAGCTGGAGTACTATGCCTGGTTCTAGGCTCCTTAGTACAAAAGGGACATTGACATACTGTATTTTTACTGTTCAACAAAGGGCCACAAGGATGATTAAGGGACTGGAGCATCTCTCCTATGAGGAAAGGCTGAGAGAGCCTGAAGAAGGCTCAAGGGAGATCTTATCGATGTATATAAATACCCGAAGGGAGGATGCAAAGAAGATGGAGCCAGGCTCCCTTCAGCAGTGCCCTGTCACAGGACTAGAGGCAACGGGCATAAACTGAAACACAGGAGGTTCTGTCTGCATATCAGAAAACACTTTTTTTAAATTTTATTTTTTTTACTGTGAGGGTGACCAAGCCCAGAGGGGTTGTAGAGTCTCAGTCCTTGGGGATATTCAAAAGCTGACTGGACACATTTCTGAGCAACTGGTTCTAGGTGGCCCTGCTTGAGCTGGGGACAAGATGATCTCTACAGTTCCCCTCAATCACTCTATGATTCTGTCATTTCGGTCTTCAAGTCTCCATACCAATGACCTTAGAACTCTTCTGTCTCTTTTCTTTAGGAATAAGAGACTGTTATCAAATAGATCATCTCTTGAAACACAGACTAGGAATACAGACTCCATAAAATGTGAGAATTTTCTAAATCCAGTGAAGACCGTATTTAGTAACTCATTTCACTTGGGGCATACATGCATGCATCTTAAAAACAAAAGCCACATTCTCTCTCTACTCATTTTTTGTTCTGTAAACAACAGTTAATTGAAATTACAGCACACTAATATATACAGTATTCTCAGACAGTCTATGTATCGTTGGTATGGTAAGACTCTAACAGTCTACTTGTCAAGTGGAATTAGGTTACTTAAAAATTAATAATCCCTATACTAAAGTATGCATGTAGCCAATTAGCTTGCACCAAAAATCCCCGTAAAAAAGCAGCCCTTGACACAGTTAGTAGTAGCCAAGACAACCCACAGCATGAGTTACATATCAAAACAGTATTGTAAAGTAGGTGAAAAACAGTTTTCAGCATACTGTTGAAGCGAAGCAAAAAATGTTTGCTTCCTATCATACAAACATAGTATTTTAGGCAGTTCTTTCCTTACATAAGCCATCACAAAGTGCAAAACAAAGTACAAAGAGACAGAATGAGTTTGGATGTGGCTGGTTATCATAATTGCCATGATGTATAACAGGAAATAAAAGTTGAACACTGACTTAAAATATTTATCCAGCTATTTAAAACGAAATTCCCAGGTGAAAACCACCAACAGTTCTGAAACGATCAAGGGAAAATAATCCTGGAGTAAATTATAATTTCCATCAAATAAACCCATGAACTTTAAGTTCATAAATTGACAAGTAATGTGACCTAAATATCCTTAGGTCAGCTTTCACTACCATCACAAATTTGAAGGAAATCTGCTTGTAGAAAACATGGAAAGGATTATTCCAACAGTGATCTCAGTATACCCATTTTTAAATCTCTTATTCAATGACTACACAAATGGTCTTTTTTCCTATGTAGGTTTAAACTCCATGTTCATTTGTACCTTTTTCAGTCTCCCAAAACACTGAGGAAACAAGACTGTTCCTAAACCCTGTTTTTTCACACTCCTCAGCCTTTTTCTGCCAAACCTTGTTCTCTCTAAATGGTCCACAAAGTTATTAGAAAAGACAGGTATTTCTGACAGCTGCCACACTGCAGCAGAGAATCGTTCTCTGCCTAACTTGCAAACCTGTGCAGCTGCCAGATGTGACCTGGTTCTTTTGAAAGTTTTGTGGATACATCTGTTTCCCTAGCCTTTTTTCAATTAACTGTACTATAAATTCCTAAGGTCTCAGATGACCCAGCCAGAACTCTCTTCATCCTTTGTCTTTAATGGTTTTACCATTCCTCTGTGAAATGCTAACGGAGCACATTATGTCCTGTCAAGGGCATCCTGATACCACAAAGACGGGTGCCTTATGAATATATGTAATTATTGGTATGACAAAAAAATATGATCTGATTGAAACAAAGTATAGGAAACAGTCTGTGCCTGCATTTTTGTATGCCAACTGTGAGTTAACAGTACGGTTGATTCATAAACTGTGAAACAAGGGATTTTAAATTCTAATACTGAAAATAATACCTTAATTAGAGACCCATGTATTAAACTGTATACAAGTTAAATAACTTCAAAAGAAGTTAAACTTCAGAAAAGTGGGCAATAGTCCATGTTGCAATGCCAGCAGGTGAAGGACTGTCACCCTGAAGCAAATGCATCACCTGCACAACAGGATTAGCTCTTGAACGTCTGACAGCTGTTTACTTCTGTTCTCCACCCAGTCATCTCAACCTGGGGCTATACAGTGTACTGCTGCCAGGTAGTCAGGGTGGCATAAAATTAACAGGGACACCACTTACATATTAAGCAAGACAAATGCAGTTTCACCCTTAATTCATATTGCCTGAAGTGAGAAGACAGAGTCAGTCACACTGCTAATTCAAGGACAGTACATCACAAGTTCCAAGAAGTCCCAAAATTTTCTTAACTACCAACTCCCCAAAAAGATGCAAAAATCAAAGGAGCTGGAAATTTTCTTAAGTCTAAAGTAGAAGCTATTAAATGATAGGACACTTTCCAAACTTACGTCATATGAATGGAGCCAAACAAAAGAGTCAGGATATGAAATGACAGTGTGATTTGGGAATCTAAAAAGAAGTTTGTAGTCTATAAACTAGATAAGACGTTTGCATATCTCCATTTTGAAATTTAAAAATGAGAAACTGATCCTGCTTTTGTTTAAATTAATACATAGAAAAGTAATTCTACTTTTAATTCACTTCAGGAAGATCTGTATAAAAATCTGTGCAGAAGAAGAGACACTAAGCTGGGAAATTTGAAGCTTTAGACTGAGGAAAAATTTGTGAGAGGCCACTGTTGAAGACCAGAAACTGAAACCAGTATATATTCTGTGTCTTTTACCTTTTGAAAAGACAAATATGACTATTTGGTGTCTTACTTGCAATTATTTGGGGGAATAGGGATGGGGTTATTATTTTCGTTTCATCTATTATCAGAAACCCTGCTACTGCAAAAGAAAAATGCATCTAAAGTTCTTCATCCTTTCTATCAAAGATGGATGATCGTGATCATGTTCACTATATAGGCAGAAACTTCAGCACCAGGGGAACTGCCCCTGTGAAAATCACAGCTTAGGTTGCAGGATTACTCCAGGGTGAAGTCAGGTAAATTGCTTTTACATATTGTTTTCACACTACAATTTCATTCACAAGTGAAAATATTTGAAGTGAACTTTGGCATGTATATACAGCTGTAGAGAGATGCTATTATTCAGCTCATTGTATTCAGTTACCATTCTTAACAATAGAATTGTTCTTTTCTTGTGAAATTTCATATGTTTTCATTGAAAAGAAACATTAAGAAATAGTTCTTGACTAACCTGCTTGTTTTCATCCTGATGAGCCTGAAGGAAGAGCTGTGTAAACACCTGTATTATGGTCATAACTTCTGGAGTTCCATCAGTTTCCAGCAATGCATTCCTAAGCATTGAGAAGTTAGATTATGACAGATCAGATAATTAGTCTGCCCATCACACCACTGTTAATTGAAATGAAGAAAAAAAAAGTACGTTCTTTTTATACTGTAGATTCAAACTGTCTGAGCTCATTATGCCAGTGTGGAAACTGATAGAAATACGAACTTTTTAAATTTTATTTTTACTTTTAAAAAAATACATGCAACTCCTACAAATAAACTAGATGTAGTCAGTATATACAATATACATGCAGACACACATAATTTACACTACCAATAGGGGTAAAAAGTGTAAAATTGAAAAAGAGACTACCACAACTTTATTATGCCAATTTGGCATCTGAACAGTCTTACTGGCTTCAGAGCAACTATTCCCATGCCTACAGTTAAGCATACTTCAGTGCTTTGTGGGACAGCATCCCAAAGGCCATCTCAAATTAGAGATAAAGTACAATGTAGTACAATTTCCTGGCATATATACCTGGAGGGAAAAAAAATAAAAAATCTTGACTTAAACTGTTAAATGTAACGCTCCTACTGGAGCCAGGGAAGCAAACAAATGTTGTTGATCAAGTTTAAAAGCTACATATTTTAAAAAACTACACAAGGAGACTGAACTTAAATAATAGAGCTGCTGTTCAGTCTCTGTGACTCCTTAAGCAATGAATCAGAAGCACAAACAGAATGAGTATACACCAAAGATGTACTTTAGGATCAGTAATTGCTACAGGTCTAATTAGGGACCAGTGCATTCGATGTGCTTTCAATGATGAAACCATAAAAAAACCCTCACTCTGGAGGTTCAGGAAGGTGAATTTTTTAACTGTCCTTCTGTAGGGCATAATGTAACCTTGAGCAAATGGAGCAAAGAAACATATGGGGAGCAAAGTGTAATTTTCATTCTCTTATTTGAAAGACATATTCAAAAATGTTCACAGTAAGCTGCCACTGAGGTAAGTTTTTTATTACAGAATTGTTTCGTTCTTTCCATAATGACCTAAAAGATAAGAGAAGCTAACACATTACTGTGACAGACAAATTTCACAAAACTACAGGCACATACAATCACTAATATCAACACAAGAAATAGTACGCAGAAGCTCAAGACAGTCTAGGTGTGTGGACACCAGTATAGCCACACATAGAAACAGGATCTGCATTTGTGAGAAAGATTGCAATGATTACAGACAATAACACAAAGTCAAGGTTTTCTTGCAGACATTATTATTACTTCTGTACAGTGTACTCCTTCAGTTTGAGACCAGCTGTTGCAATTACAGAAAAGAGAAGCATTAAAATTGGAAGGACAGAATAAAAGTCTTGAGGTTTTCATGTGTAATAGAAGTATATCCTTGCAGAATCCATTTTAAGAAGGAAGAGCCCAGGCCTGTAGCGATAGGACAAGGGGTAATGGTTTTAAACTAAAGAACAGATGTAAGGAAGAAATTCTTTACTGTGAAGGTGGTGAAACCCTGGCACAGGTTGCCCAGAGAGGTGGTAGATGCCTCATCCTGGAAACATTTGACGTCAGGTTGAATGAGGCTCTGAGCAACCCGATCTAGTGAAAGATGTCCCTGTCCACAGCAAGGGAGTTGGAACTAGATGATCTTTAAAAGCGCCTTCCAACCCAAACCATTCTACGAGTCTATAAAATAAGCTTCTACTTGGGAAATAAAACCGCAAGTTAACATGCCTGAGATAAAACAATTTAGCACAATCAACCTCAATAAAAAGCATGCAAATAGCAAGAAAAGTTATTTCTGAAAGAGACACAATGCTTAGATCTGTTCTTCAAACAGAATATTAACCCCCAAAATAAGAGCAGTTTTCTGCCTAGTGCAGAAACATAACACAGTTTCCAAGCAATGAAGTATAGCTTCTTTATCAGCAGCTCTCTAAAATCTCACATGTGACTGTATCTGGAATAGTACCTTAACATCTGCACACCACTTGATAATAGTTGGAAGGATGTCAGAGAAATACAACAAAAATGGACATAAAGCTGCAGAAACCAACTGCTCTGTAAAAGCCAGCTAACATATACAGTTTCACTTAATACCAAGATGACCTGAAACATAGTAGTTTTAAAACATATTAAGGGTTTAATACCAACAATGTAGAGGAACAAGCATACTAAGTAGAAACAATGAAATCAAACATGGGAGCAGATATCTAGGCTGAGCAACGGGAAAACATGATGAATCTCTACGACAATTTGGAACATTAATACAAGTGCAAAGTTTTATTAGGAAATAGTCTGCTGGACAAAGTCCTGCATTATTTGAGAAACAGCATCTCATCCATTTCTAGTGTCTACCAAATGGAAAGGGTGCAAAAGAGTTATGTAGTCTTGTGTTATTTTTAGTAAATATTTTATATACCATGGCCCTAAATAAACCAAGAAGCTTGAACAAATTTTGTCTCCTTATACCATCACAATATACAGCCTCCAGCCTAAGACATTATTACGGGTCTGTTGAAATCACATCAATTTTCAAGTGCATTTTGCTTTGGGAAAGTGGCTGGTCTCAACTATTCAGAAGATGTTAGCTATGCTCAGACACTGGACCACAGCAAGAGAAAGGGCTGCCACAGCAATAGCTGCCAAGTGGTTCCGCTCTCACAATACAGCAAAGACTCCTCTGCTAGTGCCTGCACAAACCTAACGTGCACACCGACACACAAACGACCCCAAAGACATCCACCTGGGAGCCCTTTTTTCTTAGGATGGAAAACACTTGATGAGCAAAGAACATCAGTCACTCAACACATTATCGTATTGAAATTATAATACCAGTAACCCCGGCAGTAGATCTGTGATTCTATGATTCTTCAAAAGAACAATAAAATAGTAAGTCAAGTTGAATTGAAGAGAAAAAAAGACACTGAAAACTGAGTACAAAGGACTGGAAGCCCCCATGTGGTAAACAGTATCTATTGCTTCAAAATATTCTTAACACATTCAAAACCAAACCATTATTAACAGGCAGATCAATAGTTCAATGTCATTAAGAGCATATCTGATATCAATCCTGAAGACTATTAACATAATGTAAAAGAGGCTACACTGATAAATGCAAATGTTTTAACTAAATTCCACCTTCATGCTGGAACAGGCCAAGCCATTCCAGCATTTATAATTTTCACCTCAAAATCTTATTTCAAAAATCTCTACTGAAGTGTAAAATAAATTATAAATTTTAAAGGCTAAAATACAACATCGTCAACTGTATTAATTAATTTAACTTTCATGTAAAGTTGACAAGATTTTAAACATTCTTCATTACTCGCAGTATATTACACAAAAGGAGATGCTAGGGCATACACAGCTAAAGAAAGAGACATCTTGAAATTATAATACATCCCTTATTATAATACTGCGTCTTCTCATGAAGAAATCCTCAACGTTTAAACTGATAATTTGAAACACTTCCCACTATGATTTCAATACTTACTTGAATATTTCATTAACAATTCTGAAAATGGCAGGATGGCTTGCTGCTTGTGGCTGTTGATAAACAAATGAAAGAAAATTAGGCATTAATAATAAACAATTCAACAACTGCCACTGTATAATTTACAGCTTAACTCATGGATGCTATTACACTGCAATTATTAAACTGTAAATCTCAGATCAACTCTTACTAAACCCTCAGATTTTCTCAGGATTAGGTTCTTCAAAATAACTGCGTCAAAGTCATGGAATGAGATCCACAGCGATACCAAGCACGCTACACAGCTGATAAATGCAAACACCTGGGATCTCAGACTGTTTATGACAGCGATCACTACAGCTAGCAGATAGAAAGAACAAGTTGTTGCACGCAATTGCTAGAGGCAAGAGACAGGGAGCAGATTTACAAAAAGGTTTTCTCTCCTCTTCACAGACAATCCCTTTTGGATATGCTTTGAGATTTTTACTACATCTTCAAAATTAAATTCCACCTTTGTCTTTAATTCTACCACACATGTTTTGGTCCGAGACATTTTTTCACAGTATTATCATCTTCTGTGAATTTGAGTTGCTAGTACAAGCTAAATATCTCAGTGCCCCCAAATGTATTTTTTTGAAAGTAGTAAAGCTTCTTATTATGCTACCACACAAAAGACTGTTTTAAGAAAGTTGCATCTTTAATCATGCACTAGTAAATATATTACTTTCTAATCTCATACTGTTAAATTCTAAGATTTATTAGGCTCTTATAGTGCAAAAAGAATAAAAAACTAATTACACATTCCCCAAAGTATATTTGCCTAAATTAAAAACCAAATGCATGCTTTCTGCTTCTGAGGTTAGCACCTGAAGATCTGATAAGAATATAGTTCTTGAACCACCTACAGTAATGCATTTTTTCTAAAATACATTCTATAAACTTCAGGATGCATGGAAGGAATAGCACTTACAAATGGCATTTATTGTAACAGCTTGGAGTGCCTGATGCACTATTCTAAAGAAAACCTTTATGCACGTGTTTCAAGCTAAAATGTACCAAATAGAGTCGGATTTTTTTCTTTTTAATTGCACCCAGGCAGAATGAGGACTCTACTCCATATGATAATCTCAGAAAATAAAGACAGAGCCTTTAATACAAACTGCCTAGAAAAGCTCCTTGTTTCTCACAGTTGTCTTTGCCACACCGGAAATAGTAGGTGGCACCTCATTTTCATGTTTTACCACACTTTTTCTATCACAAGGCTGTAGCTAAGGTGTCCTATTGAACTCATGCCATCTAGTGTTCGAGAGTATTTACAGCCAGTTGTTTGGTCGTGTGAACAACCGCGTACACTTTGGTGCAAGGCTCGTCTCCAAACTTCCACTGCTAGAGGGAGAAAAAAACCACCTGGCTGGATGAGAAAGAAAGAAAGAAAAAAAAAGAAAAAAAAGATACGTTCATCTCTCGTTTTTAAAAGGAAAAATTGGACTAGACGATCTCCAGAGGCGCCTTCCAACCCATTCTGCCATTCCATAAGAACAGTGGAAAGTGAGAAATCTGTTTTTCAGTCCCATGGGCTAAATAGTTGAATTCAGCCATTTCTCCTCTGTCTTTTCAGACACTCTACCTACTTTACACACATATTTCTATGATGACGTACCAACCCACTTTTGCTTGCCAGGTTGACTATAAACTATGAAGTGTCCATCATATCAAGATCAAGTCATAGTTCATTTGAAGAACACCAAAATAAATGTGCTGTATGCAACCCATTCCTGCCAGACAGCAGCAATCTATAGTACTCACTACGAGAAACCACAGTTAACAGCTCTCAGTATTTAATATACACTACTGAAATCAATATGAATTTCATCACTGGGATTTAAAACACCCCCCCCAAGATTTTGATTAATGGACTGCACAGAAATAATCTGCAGGCACTCGGAGTAAGAATGTTATGACAGCACAAGAGTCTCCAACGCAATTTGAAGATGTGCTTGTTGTGTAGCAGGACTAGAGCAAGCAGCACAATTCTTCTGTAGCCAGCAGCAATTCTGGAGTTTGGGAGGGACTATCAACTTCAGGAGGGACTCTCATGTTGTTGACATCATCTCCTTATTTTTTCAAAATGAAAGGGCATTTTACAGTTCAATAATTTTGTCTGCGACTACACAATATTTTTCAGAGAAAGCTCAGCAAACCAAACATACTGTCTTACCAGGAGCTTATGCCACCACTTTTAAAACACGCACAACATATACAGCACAACACACACTAAACCAAAAAGATCCAAACACAGGGAACTGCGGCTGCATGTGTGGTATCATGATTACATATTTTAAGAATGTGTGCCTCTTCAGACCCACCCTACCCCCAAGCACTGTGATTTTTGAAAGAAATAAAATAGGAGAAATATACTGTAGCATGAAGTATTACACACACAAATTCTATAGAACTAATATACTTTTGAATCTGTATTATCAGAAAGAAGAATCCTAAACACCTGATTTATAATACAAAGCCAGAACTGAATAAAGACATAAGAAAAATACATTTGTATCTACAGGATGCAAGTAAACGGCACAAAGAGGAACAGAGTAATAATCATGTACTGCGTTTTATTCACATCATAGAACGCTCTGTAACAACCACAAGTACGAGTAAATGTAAGGAAACAAATTGTGCCCAAGATCACGCAGCAACAGATTTGAGGTGGTAACACCACAAATACCAGTTCTCTTGACTTCCAGACTCACATGCAATTAATTGGACACAACACTTCTATCGCTAAACACATCTAGCCCTAAAAAAGTAAAACACGGCTGTATTTCAAATGTCTGTATTTCCAAATTATTTATTTACCTGTATTCCTGAATTTTATATTTACCAACTAAAAATAAGAAGTGTCACTTAATTTTTTCTTGTGCCAAATGTATTTTTTACTTTGAAGCATACACTTGTTTTGAAACCACAAACATATTTTACACAGGTTTAAAAAGTTCCTGAATTCGTCAACATTATGAATAAATCAGCGTGCACTGTTCAAAAAATTTTACCATAACAACACAGGTTTCAGAGACAGGCAATACTGAAGGAATTAACTGTAACTTGTCTGGAGTGTATTACAACAAGAAAAAAAACTTCTCATTCTCCCTCTCTATCCTTTCTCCTTTCTCCCTCGTTAATGCCTGTTTGATTGGCACAGGTCCTAGTGAAAGGTGAGCGTGGATCCAGTTAGACTCAAAACCTGGGGACAAGGCACAGCAAGAGGGTGATGGAAGGGCACGGGAACCAAAGCAGCCTCCAGCTCGGTATCCTGTCAGGCAATACAAGAATCACCATTATCACCCACTAAAACTCTATTTGCTCTGTAACGCTGTAGTGAAAATATCAGCAAAGGAGACCCCACCGCTAGAGCGTTAACTGCAGAGCGCATCGTAATTCCGATGCTGGGCTGGACTTGGGAAAGCTGACAAGGTGGAAAAACAAAACGCAGCAGAAACGGATGGTTTATAAAGCAGCAGCTGATGAAATTTTTAGCCCTGCGCAGCCTACTGCACTATTCTTGCAGTATGACTTTGAAAGAAGTAAAACTACTTTGGAAAGCCACCTAAGAACGGAACGCAAACTAGAATTGACACTGATTCATTCACATCTCTTTTTACATCCTTTAAAAATCTGTTTATATACATAATCTATGCATTTCTGGTAAAGCATAAAATTCTAATGCGTATTTATTTAAATTTTAGTTGTTAGCACACACATACAAACCTTACAGTTACTTCAGAAAGGAAGACATCCGCTCACCCACTAAATTCTGAAGAAGCTAAAAGACTGTTTGTGATGGTCGCTTCACTTGTTTTTATCACTTCTGAGTAACTACAGAATTCCCAACAGTAATTCCAGCTTAGCCTCAAAAACCACAAACCTAATAGCATACCATCACACTACAACTACTCTCAGAACTAAAATGTGAGAGTAATGCATATCAAGTTTCTTTCACAATAGAAGTATGGTGTTTTACAACTATATGGGTACCATAGATCTCTATGAGGTTTATGTACAGTTTGGTTACTGTATCAGGATATTTTATTTAGATAAATGGCTCTGATACTGCAATTATGAAAAAGCTTATTGAAATTTCCTTCTTATGGTATACTATAATGAAATCACTAACATATTTCTGCCTATTTGTACTCTAGAGGTTTTCTTCCAAATAGAAAAAAAATGTATAAATCAAATTTTGTCTCATGATTCCACTTTTTATTACCATATGCATACGGCAAACAGAGGACACATCCTACAAATATCATAATCCAACTGCCAAAATATGCATACCCATATTCCTAAGTAAATATTCAAAAGTCTTTACTGTCTTTCCAATAGTAATCATACTGTTGGATTCAAATACTGACTGACTAATGTCACACAAGTATCTTTATAGTACCATGTACAAGTTGTACAAAACACAATTTTTTGGATCAAATCTTTTCCTTCTACACTGCCTCTCTGAAGCTTCTCATCTGTTGTTTTTAATTGGTATTCCACCTCTCATTCATGCACCCTTCCTCTTATCAATGCCTATCAGTCAGCAATATGCATCTTCCAATTGCTCTCTTCTTTATGCCTCCATTCATTCATTCCACTCCTTGTCCACAGGATGTCCCCTCTAAACCAGTATTCAAAGCTGCCGCACTGATGAATTTTGTTAATATCTTATTTTGAAAGCACAAAGTGTTTGGAGCAGAGGCAAGTAAGGACAACCTAAGTGTGCTAGGATAGTAATGATCCGCTCTTTTCAGGGATCAGGATGTGAAGACAAGATAAAGATGAACATTGTTAACAATCAACAACTCAATAATTAAAACAAATATTTTATTACTTTTTATGTATAACCTAAATATTTTTGGTTTTTTCCTCAGCCACATGTGGTAGCATATCCTATACTCAATTCACAGTGTACCTGATACAGAAAAATCAGGCACCGGCCTTGTATCTAGCCTTGTCTTCTGGAATATCTAGATCCCCAGGTGACATATGTTGATGCCAAGCATTTATGAGATTTGCAAGTATTAGAATGGATGCCTAAAACAGAAGTTTGCAGATTCAATTAAAAAGGAAGACTATTTAAAGGTATCATTCTTTTCCTGTAAGCAGTTTCACAGGCTGAAAATAAGATACCACATGCCATTTTCTGGTTCTATCCATTTTATGAAATATGTCATCTAAGTGCATAGCATACATGCTATTTCACACTGTAATTAATAGTTAAATTTACATTTAGTGTGGCAAACTAGCTTGTTATTTTCGAAAAGGTATTATGTCATGTTTTGTGATAGGAAAGGTTTGTTGGTGGATTGTGTAAAACAACATTTGAAAACAAACTGATTTGTTAAGCAAATGGTTTGTATTAAGAATTTTGTTCAGGGTTGTAAACAAAAACAAGCAACTAAGCAGTCCATAATAAAATAATATGCAAGGAATTTCAATTGTTTAAACTGCTAACCTGCCGAGAGCACAGAGATTGAAGTAAAAGATTGAAGTAAAAACAGATTCAAATCCTCCCCGGCCAAAGTTTATAATTTTTTAAGACAGCAGCAGGTACTCAGCAGCCCCAGCAGTCAGATTCTCATCTCTTCATCCATTCTTCATCACTGGAATAAATCTTTTTTCTCTTCTACCAATTCAGTGTAAAAACCGAAAATTTAGTGACATTTCTAAGACTCAAGATCTACCTGCACATTAGCAAGTTATATGTCACATAACAGGCATTTCCCTCAAATATGCTGACATATTTGGAAACTGTCACTTCTGATGCAAAAAAAAAAAAGACCAGTAGCAAATGTACTACATGTTGCACATACCAGTAGCGAGTCTTTTATGACCCAAGCCATTTCTTCCAGTGAATTCAACTGAATGGAAATCAGCTGGTCTAAAAGATATAATGTCGCTTTTTCCAGGCTTGGTAGGTGACGAAGCCAGAGGCTGAAGACAGCTGATTCAGGGAGGGAGATCTTCTTCCTGGTTTATAGAGAAAAATACTGTTTTCCCTGAGAAACCAGAAGTAAACACAAATATGTACCTTTTTAATATATTTTTTTAAAGTACATTGGGGAAAAAGAACAGACAAAGATCAACCTAAAGTTAGAGGCAGAAAATCTTCTTTACGGTGCTCTGTCCAATATCAAATAATAATGGCAAAGAATAATGGCAAAATCACCATCATCTACAAATGAAACCTTACCACATGTCTTTAAAAACTAAAAATTTGGTTATGACAGATCCCAGCAAATGGGAACAGAAAGTTTAAGTCTGGAGTTCCCTTCCTCTCTAGAGGAAGGTCTGACCCCATGCTTGCGCTCTTCCAAACCCAGACTGCTTCCTGCAGACCGGGCTGCTCAGAAAGTGTCAGCAGCTGACAGAGAAGCAGGAAGGTCCTTGATAATACTACTGTGGGCTAAATCAAAGCATTACCTGTCTTTGCAGTGAAATAAGGAAAAAAAACCCAACCCACAACAAAAACGAGGCAGAGGTAAGTAAGTCTTGGTAAGTAACCAACACTGACTGGAGCATTTTAAAAGACAAATGGTAAGAAGCTAATTATCTCCCCACCTAAAGCCTTCAGCTATACTCAGCTCAGCTGAAGTACAGTGTTGTATCACTAGGAAATAAGAGGTACAGCTTATTTTGAGACAACACTGTAATGTGTGTGGACCAGCACAATTAAAAATATACTAAAGTAACCACCCAAGAAGGAGAGAGACCACAGCACAAAGCAAAACATCCTGGAATGGTTTTGCAGCTACTATGATAGCTGCAAACTAAAAGGTTAAAAACAAAAAAATACATGCGTAGCAATAAATACATGCCTAGCAATAAATACATGCCTATATATAACAATCTTCATTGACACATCTCAGAAATTACTATGTTGAGTACAGAGGAAGCAATTAAAACTTTAAAATTTTTCATTAAGATTAAAAAGGAGACAAATGGATAATTGTGTTCACAAAGGCCCTTTTCTAGTATCAAAAAACCCCTATTGTTTACAATACAGCCTCTCAGCTACAACTTGAATAAAACTCTCAACCAAAAGTATGCTGTGCTTTCTGTGATGTCTTTCCTTCCCTGGCATAGCCAATTTTGCTGATGTTCACTTTCACTCTGGTGGTTTTTATCCATAGATGGATTTTACCAAAACAGTGGTTTTAGTGGTAGCAAAACAAGCAGTTATATTTCACAAATTGCTCTTACCAGACTCATTAAAAATAATCTGCTGAAAAACAGGAGAATTTAAAAACTCGAGAACTAATTTCACAGAAAAAAATAAGAGAAATACGGAACCACTCAAACATAAGGATCTATCTGATATATGGAAAAAAAAATATAGCTCTAAAAATGTCAAGTTAGGAATGTTGATACACTTATATGAAAGGTAAATAACGTTTCTGTGAAAAGTGATCATATCCTTCACAAAATTCCTAAAATCTATTGAAGGCTTTAACCTCCATTTTAAAGAAAAGGTGCGACAAAGCTACAATCAATATTTAAAACTGTTATGCCACAATTTGTATATCAGCAATTTTAAATTCTACTTTGTCCTACAACCTCAGCTCTGCTATTCAACTGCAAAGGAAATATTTTACTAGAATACAGATCTACAGTGCATTCAGCATACAAATTCAGAGAACAGACATTTAAGTGAATTAATAATCTTTGTAGAAAAAGAATAAAAATCATACAAACCATGTTACTTACTTTAAAAAAGCCTCATTCACAGCCTCTAGAAACTCTGAACTGAGAATTTCTTTTGATGCACCTCCATGGTAAAGAAGGAGAGTTTCCAGCAATGGTGTTAGATCAGGCAAAGTAATGAGAGGCAGACAGGAAAGGGACACAGCATTCACATGACTGGCTGAAACTCTGAGGGGAAAAGTAAAAACAGTTCATATTTCAGAAAAGTCAAAACTTTAATTTCTAAACTGATAAGGTAAAAGAATATTAAATTAATTACAGAAGGTAACAGGCAAGAGATGCATACCCAACTGCAGAAAAATTGTTTCGTGGAATGACTGTTAACATGTTGTTACATATTGCCTGAAGAATCTTAAGGAGAAGTCAGATAAAAACTTCGATGTTTTAGTGCTCAAGGCAACCCAGGGTATCAACCCAATTCTGAAATGCAGCCAGTCATGTTCACTCAGTAATCACACCCT